ATACAATTAGGAAACCTAATAGCAAAATTTCTCGAAACTGTAGTCACAAATTAAATATAATCAAAACTATAACTATATTACGTAGTATACTCTAGATGTTTGTCATTTCGCTTAATTTTCCACCAAGTTAAGGTAATTCTTGAGTTAAATTTCAGCAAGTTTATATGTTCTAGCATATGATCGTATGTGTTCTAGCATAAACGTTATCAGTTAACTATTATTCATGAAAGCAATAAGATTTTGATATGCTTTCGCTGTGCACATAGTTTTCAACATACTGAACCCTTAAACTCCTTCTTTATGACTTCTAATTGGTTGAATGAGTCTAGACTGAGTGAAGAGAAAACTTCTGAAGTCTGTTTCGTCATACAATCACGGTTCAAGTTTTTTTAAAAATTGTGTTCTGTGTATGTGCTTTTTTTTTAACTTCCCTTACAATTTTCTCTAAGTTGTTCAAGAAAGGTTAAGAGGATAGTGGACCCTCAAACTCTATTTATGCCTTCTATTTAGTTGAATGAGTATAGGACTGAGTAAAGAAAAAACTTCCGAAGTCTGTTTGTCATACAATCACTGTTCAAGTAAAAACATAATAAAAATAGTGGTTCAGCTTGACCTTGAATTCCCACTTCAGTTAACAAAGCTTAAGGCCATCTGCACTTTGTTTCTTTTCAATTTAATATAAGATAGTTTTTTCCACTTCTAACATATTAAAGAAGGAACTTTGTTCTACTACCCTATTTTTTTCTAAAAAATTACATGTATTGATTGTGTGTTTTATGGTAATCAGTGTTTGTTTAAGTGGAAAGGGAAGAGGGGTTTCCCATATGACCTGAGTAACCTTCTGCTCTTGGGATAGAGCAGAATAGCAGTAAATAGAGTGTACCTCATGGACTGATGACATTGAATATAACTAAAGTTGCTCTATGCTGCTGATTTGTAACAACATTGATATGCAGTCATGTTAGGAGTACACAACGCTTTAAAACAAATACATCCGGATATCATCACCATCTTTGTGCTTCGGCATCCTCAGCATGGAAAACAAATTGCTTTGGTATGATTCATGTTCTAGCCTATGATTCATCTTTTGTGGTCTCATTGGAACTGAGAAAGGAAGGGATAATTGTTGGTCATAGAGATAATAGAAGAAATTCCATCAAGATCAGGCATTTTGCAACTCAAAAATGTTTCCACAGAACCCAAAAGACTAGGTCTCCTCAAAGTGCAGTCAATCCCATTAAAGTACCTGACATATATTTAAACCTACCAGTGACCACATGTTTTACATTCATAATGAGCCTTCCATTTCACCACTTTCTTATCATTAAAAATGTCCTCAGGATTGATGTCAAAAGAGGCCTTTATCTCATAACTTGGAACTTGTAAATTACTTCCTCTATCAAGACTGGATTTATGTTGTCTTCCTCAACTTATGCAGGAATTGGAGAAAGATGGAGTAAGGGTAGCATTACGGTTTCGTCACGATAAGCTCATGCCAGGGACAAACATATAGGTGGTTGACATATTAGGTTAACCTCTTTGGCCTTGTGATAATTCCTCAAACTAGCTGACTCAGATTTTCAGTTTAGATCTGTTTAAGCTTTACATCCCATTTCCTTTCTAAAAAGTTAGTGGGTTATTATTTTCCTGTAGGTGAAATAGTCGAATGATCACCATCATACTTCTTTTTGTGAATTCTAACAAACTAAGAATAGCTAAAGAGAAAATCAAAGAGTTTTCTAGAGTTTTGCCAATAATTTAAAGTAACTTCCACGAGGTCTTTGTAATCAGTCATCTTTTATTCTAAAAATCGTAAATCTGCCCTTTCCTCAACTATAGTATTCGTTACAAAACTGGCAAGAAAAAGCGATGACAAATTGAGCAAAACTTAAGTTTGGGTTCCACCAAAACTAGAGTTATGGAAGCTAACAGAAAACAGTAAAAAAAAAACTATATACAGTGTAAGCTAACACTGAATCTGGCTAATCCTCGGATGCAACCCGCTGTTTCTTCCATTTATAAGCAGAAGCCAAAATGTTAAGATTGTTCGCCTGCATTTCTTCAGGGAAAAGATAGTCTATGTACTCCTCGTAGACTGCTGGACCATCCTCCATGTCTATTTGCCTTCTCTTCGTCAGTTTCTTTGGTAGTTTGGCATGGACTAAATTGACATCTCCAAGCTCACCAAAACTGTTTTCCATATTTAGCCATTCTTCCAAAAGCATTCCTCTTTCTTCCTTCAGTTCAGGTGCAGATATTCTTAAGTAAGAAACGGTCCTCTCAAAAACATCTCTAGCATTTTGCAGGCACTTCTTTTTCTGTTCAACATCTGATTCCATAGCCGATGCCTCAAACTTGGCATAACTTATCCACACCTTTAAATGTTTGGTACGGTTAAGAAGTCTTTCATATAGTGCTCTTGTTCTTTCAAATTCACCCTCAGAGATCTCGAAGTCTATGTAAGCCTTCCATAGTAACTCTGGAATATCCAGTGCAGGTTGATCAATTGCAAGCTCAAAAACAGCTCTGGCTCTCTCCGTTTCATACAAGGACCTCTCTAACCCGGCGAATTTGCTCCAAGCATGGCAATTTTCTGGTGACCATTCTAAGTACTTCTCATAAAGCTTTCTGCAACGATCTATGTTCCCAAATTGCAGCTCTATCTCAATGTACTTATTAAATATCTTGTCTTTAGGAGCCCTTCCAATCGCTTCTCCAAGTAGAAGCCGTGCCTCCTTGAGTCTTAACTGCCGAATCTCAAACAAGGCAGCCAACAACCAAATCTTTGCAAATGAAAACTTGTGATGTGGAATCAGCTTAAGACACTCCAGGTAAACATGTCTGGTTCTTTCCATGTCTTGTGCATCAATCTCTTCATATAATGCATAATTAATCCATAAGTAAATGTATCGTTGCCAATACCGCTTCTCTTCAGCAGGAGGAACATTAGCAATGGCTCTCTCATAAACCTCTCTAATCCTCTCTTTATTTCCAATGCTCTCTTCTAGACGAATATAATCAAACCATGTATCATAGTTACGTGGATTCATCTTGACTTGATCCTCATACTGAAACCTCCTTTTTCCAACTATAGCATCCTCAATACCTTCCCTATCACCATACTGCTTTTCAAATGCCACAAACTTGCCGTACAAATCCTCAGCTCGCCCTTTTGGTATCTGATCAAGGGCAAATTTATATATGCAACGTGCCCTGTCCGTCTCCTTACACTTGTCCTCAAACTCTGCGAATGCCAGAAACAACTGCTCAGCTTCGTCATCGTCATCTCCCAACTTATCCACAGCCCTTTCATAACAATTCCTTGCCCTCCCAATCTCCCCATTCTTCATCTCAAATTTTGAGAACCTAATCCAAGCACTAACTTTCGGATGACACTCCACAAATCTCTCAAAAATTTCTCTTGCCCTCTCTATTTCATTATACCTTAACTCAAACTTAATATAAGATAACCACCCTTGCTGGTCCGGCATCCACCTCATCCACCTCTCAAAAATCTGTCTTGCACCAGCTACATTGCCAAGCATCTCTTCCATATGAATATACTTGTACCACAACTGATCAACCCTAGGCAAACGGATAACAGCTCGATCCCATAGATTACGAGCATGATTAACAAACTTATTCTTCATCTCCATATCAACATACTTCAACCAGATGGTATGGTCACGGTTAAGTGCATCAACTCCAAGTGCACGTTCCCATATAGAACGAGCACGCTTCAAGTCCTTTTGTGATTCTTCCCATTCAGCATATTTCACCCACACACTCTTGTTCCAGCCTACACGGCTAATTAAACCCTCAAATTCCTTTCGCTTGCGAAGGCGATAATCAGCTCCTTCTGTTGGGTCACTGATTTTCTGTTTGGGCAGTCTGATTTCCGCCTCTTGACGTTCTCTAGCTTCCCGGAAAATCTGCTCTGCCGTGATTTGGATTGGGGCAGGGGTTTTGTTCTTCACCCGCATAGCTCTAGCAAGAGATACTGAAGCCATTAACGGAATTGTGTTGAATTGTAGAGAAGATGGAAAAATACGTGACAATTGTATTTTATTTTTTCCATAAAAGGAGGCTATATATAAGATCACATACAAGATGTCAAAATGGGCTTCAGCTGCTAGGTCGGCCCAACCCAACTCTTGAGTTAAGTGGGGTTGAGCCTAATTTTTTTGGCTTATTTAGGAACGAAACTTTTTAGTCCAGTCTCATTTGACCCACTAGCTTCGTAGGCCCAACTCGCAAGCCTCAGAGGTCAGCCCGTGGGCTATAAATATTTAAAAATATTTTTTATATATATTTTTAATAGTGTTTTATTTGTAAAGTTTTTATCAATAAATATTTTTAAAAATAAAAAATCAAGTCTTTTAAACTAGCTAGTTTTTGTGGGAGAAATGGTGGAATGGTCAACATCTTTCCGCTAAATCTTACGTTGACTATTATGTATTTTTGTAAGTATTCACCGAAGTGTGTGATTCATAAACTTTTCCTATTCGGTTAAGGTTACGATTTGGACTCAATAACATCTTAATTCTTATAACATCATAATATAATATTTGGACTTAATACTTATTTATTTGATTAATTAAATTCTCTAATTTAATTATCAAACAATAAAATAATTTATTGTAAATTGTTTATATCAATATACTAATCAAGGGTAACATTCATTAACGACAATATCACATGAACTATACGATATATGCTAAAAAACTATATAGTATAAATTCAATTTAATGTAGCTAATTTTGTGAAATACGCCATGTAAAAGTTTATGTAAACCTAGCCAATGAAAAATCTAATTTATCTTTAACAATAATGTATTATTTATATATGATATAGATACACTAATAAGTAATTAGTAAATTAGTACCTCCTCCATTAGACATATAGTTTGTGACTAAGCAGCAAGTTTATTGATATTTCACAATTACTTTTAAAGAAAAATGCATTTTTTTAATAAAGTTTTTGTGAAATAAGTAAATTCAATATGAATCAAATATTCCCCCTTCCTCACAAAATTACGAGACTCACAGTTGAAGAGTATTGACAGTGCTATAATCAGGAAGAAGAAGAAGAATTGGGAAAATGGCGATGGAGAGAGGTGAGCTGATTTACAAAATTTACAGAGCCCTAAGTTATGGATTATCGCCGCTGATTCAGCTGCATCTGCGGTGGCGCAAGTTCCGTGGCCTGGAACATCCTCTCCGCTGGCGCGAGCGTCTCGGACTCCCTTCTCTTTCTCGCCCCCCTGGCCCTCTCTTCTGGTTCCACGCTGTCTCACTTGGTAACTCTCCTTCTCTCTTCCATTTATTTTTTTGCCATGTCTTAATACTAACACACACTCTTACACCTTGTTTGGATTATTGTTAAGTGTTGTTAGTTAAATACAATAATCATTACTTAAATTTTATTATATCCTATCGTTTAAGACGTTGCTACTAACTACAAAATGTACCATTTTATGTAAGGATCCATTTGGTGTGATGTCGTTACTTTTTTCCCCTCATTTTGTGTTTATTTACTACTTAATAATCCTATTTATCCTTTATTCTACTTATTTATAGTAGTTCTACGTGTATCGTACTTCCCTGGTAGGATTTATCCTTCAAATTGTTAATGTCTGACATTATATAACAACAAAATTGTATTTATTAAAACAATATAATACGATATAATATATAAAATATGATACATTGTGAAACAATATGTAACAACCATCCAAACATAGTGTTACTCTAGGCGCACAAGCAGAGAGAGACTCATAATGTATGCATATCAGAATTAGAGAGTGTGAATATATACATACACATATTATTATTATTTTGTGTATTTGTAGATATAAACTCTCTTCCCCCAAACACACACACATATTTTTTTGTTATTGTGTAGGTATTTGTAATTTATACAATTGTATATTGTGCAATTGTTGTTCAAGTTGTTGATCTATACTCCCTTTGTCCCAATTTATGTGATACCTTGTAATTTTGCATCAAGTTTAAAATAGACTTCTGATTTTTTTTTATCTAAAACAAACTTAGCATTTGTGTGGCAATAAATCATTTCTTTAAGGAAGGGTAAAGATGAATTTTAAAGTTAAATTATATCTAATTATAGATAAGTGACATTCTTATTGGGATGGACTAAAAAAGAAAGTATGCCACATGAATCGGGACAAATAGAGTATTATTTATTATTGTTTCTTTTTTCCTTTTTCATCCTAATATGAAATTGTTATCAGTTATTTAATTTGTTTGTTAAAATGTGGAATTAGGTGAAGGAATGTGTGCAATTCCTGTGATCAAATGCTGCATAGAGAGGAGGCCTGATGTAACTGTCTTGATGACCACAACCACCACATCAGCATTGTGAGTCTCAATTTTAATTCAAAGTTTCTTTAAGTGTTTGGTGATAACAAATTTTGTGATATGATAGTAGCCAGAAAACTTAGTATTTTGCAATTATAGTTTAGTTTTCTGCTGCACAAAATGGAAGGTAGTGTGGGAAATATATAAAAAAATGTGGTTCTGTGATTATGGGGGGGGGAATTAATGGCACAAGATATCCTTGATATTAAAAATCTAGCTTAGTGTATTAATTGTTGACACAAGAAAAGAAAGACCTGTTTGAGAGTGCATTTACGTTGTTGATAGTAGTGGAATGCAAGTTATGTTCAAGATTCCTTTTAGTGCCCAATAGAAATAGAAGGCATATCTAACTTATTGGATCAAAACAATGCAGGCATAATCAACTACTTTGTGATGAGAAACAGAAGATATGTCTTAGATCAGTTAATACAAAAATAAATAGATTTTACTTTGCAGTATGCTATTTACTTTAATTTGTTTACTGATGTGGATATTCCAATTTGGTCATTTTAACAACTTCCGCCAGATTCATGTGGGCATTATTTTCACTTCTCATTTCACGGCTTGCTGAAAAGCTAATTCATATTTAATACCTAGTTTGTTTGTATTTTTCTTACAGTGAGGTAATAAAGCACCAGCTTCCAAATAACGTCCTTTATCAGGTACCTGTTCGATTTCCTTAAGACTGATGCACAACTTACATTTTGCTTGATAGACGTCACTAAGTTGAGTTATCTGACAAGACACCAACTTCCCTTTCAAGTGTACTATTTCAATTTTGACTTTTGCAAGTGAAATCTAAAAACAGGAGAGCACACCCTAGCTCTTCTTCTATGCTGTTAGCTTGTTTCCTCCCTCCCTTTCTTCTGACCATACTAGGTGAATCTCACTTTCTTATTTTTCAGAGTTCTTATAATGTTCTGGCATTTCTTTTTGTGCTCAATTTTTTCTTCTGAATATTTTGTCTTCTGACCTGCCTGTTTCCACTTATAAAACTGATTTACGTTTTCTTTTAATCCAAAATTACTCTTTGCGATTTATATTTTATACATGGCTTTCTCACCAAAGTTAGAAGATAGAGAAGGAGCGTCTCTAACATGTTTACAAATTTACCAGTTTTCTCCAGTTGACACTCCTGGCGCCATTGATGCTTTCCTTCGTTATTGGAAGCCAAGTGCAATCATGTTAATGGAAAGTGAACTCTGGCCAAACCTGATTATAGGTGCTGCGAAAAATCGGGTAGGTAAATATCTTTTCTGAATGCTTCTGAACTGAGAGATGCCTGTTATTGTAACTTTTAGTATCTTGACTAAAGGCTTATATTTTCTGCTAAGGATTCGATGCAAATTTCACTTAATTTTTTCATGAGAACACTATTTCGTTTAACCACTGTTATCGTCCAGACACCCTATTTTGTGGTTTAGCATCCATCTTGTTCTTTTTCATTTTAATTCTCATTGTATTCACTTATATGTCACTGTATTATGTTTGTTTCTCTGCTTACGCTCAACCATTATGCTACTCAGATTGCACTTGCATTGCTTAATGCTCGAATATCTGCAAAATCTTATGGCAGTTGGTCTCAGCCATTTGTTAATTCTCTGACATCATTAATGCTCTCCAAATTCTTGCTGATTCTTCCACTGGTACGTATCTCATATATTTTCATTGAAGTGTCTGGATTTTAAAGACATCATTTTACCTTTAGAGTTCTGATTTTTATTTCTATAAAGAGCACTACCCAGGCAATTCGCTTTCAACTGCTGCAGTGTCCACCCTTCATCATAAATTTTTGCGGTGACCTAAAGTATGGTATGGCCAAAAACAAAGACTTATTAGCTTGCATGATACGATAGAACTACTAGCACTCATAATAAATTCATTTATATATTCCTTTAGAAATATTGTTGCATTTACCACTGCTTACCAGAGAGCAGACACTAATTGTACCCTTCTTCTCGCTTCCTTGTTCTTTTTCCCTTTAGCTGTAGGGAACATTGACACAAATGAAGGGGATCAAAGAGCGCTGAAAGAGTTGCAGGTACAGCTTATGAACAGAAAGGTTTGGATGGCATCTTCTATTCATAAGGGTGAAGAAAAAGGTAGTTGTTTTTGCTATATAATGTCTGACGTGTATTAAAGACTTTTCATGGAGATGAAGAAATGAAAAGAATCTCGAACGTGAAGCAAGGGTGTTAGATAAGAGAGTCATGAAGGCCCCTTTTTTTTCTGTTACTTTATACCATGGTAATAGTTTAAGCTTGAATTCATGCAGGCATGTGTGTGAACAAACTGTGTTCTGTGTATGTGATTCTTTTTACCTACCTTACAATTTTCTCTAAGTTGTTCAAGAGAGGTGGAGAGGGTACTGGGCCCTTAAACTCCCTCTTAATGACTTCTATTTGGTTGAATGAGTCTAGACTGAGGGAAGAGAAAACTTCTGAAGTCTTTTTGTCATACAATCACGGTTCAAGTTTTAAAAAGAACTGTGTTCTGTGTATGTGCTTCTTTTTAACTTCCCTTTCAATTGTCTCTAAGTTGTTCAAGAAAGGTTAAGAGGGTACTGGACCCTCAAACTCTATTTATGACTTCTATTTGGTTGAATGAGTGTAGGACTGAGTGAAGAAAAAACTTCCAAAGTTTGTTCGTCATACAATCACTGTTCAAGTAAAAAAAATAATAAAGATAGTGGTTCAGCTTGACCTTGAATTCCCACTTCAGCTAACAAAGCTTAAGGCCATCTGCACTTTGTTTCTTTCCAATTTAACATAAGCTAGTTTTTTCCACTTCTAACTTATTAAAAAGGAACTTTGTTCTACTTCTCTATTTTTTTTCTAAAAAGATGCATGTATTGATTGTGTGTTTTAAGGTAATCGGTGTTTGTTTAAGTAGAAAGGGATCAGAAAGGGAAAGGGAAGAGGGGTTTCCCATATGACCTGAGTAACCTTCTGCTCTTGGATAGAGCAGAAAAGCAGTAAATAGAGTGTACCTCATGGACTGATGACTTTGAATATAACTAAGGTTGCTCTGTGCTGCTGATTGAATTTGTAACAACATTGATATGCAGTCATGTTAGGAGTACACAACGCTTTAAAGCAAATACATCCGGATATCATCACCATCATTGTGCCTCGGCATCCTCAGCACGGAAAACAAATTGCTTTGGTATGATTAATGTTCTAGTCTATTAGAATTTATTTATAGTCCTTCTAAAATTGCCCTAACTTCTCTCTCTTAACTCAACCAAATCATTAAGTTTATTGAACCATGAACGCTCAAGTGCTTCTTCAAACTATCGAGTGAACTCTTGAATGATCTTGATCTGTTCTTCATGCTTGTATTCATCCTCATTCTCATGTCCATCCAGTGGGCAGTGGAGGAAATAGTTGGATGGGTTCCTGATATTTCATTATAGTTCAAGAGCAAGAAATTTGTCAAGTCAACATAAAAATACTTGAAAACAGCCATATTTTATTAGTTAAATTGAGAACAGCATGCGCTTTAACCATAAACCATAAGATTTAGAGGAATCATGATCCCAAGTTGCTAAAGATGTCCCAGGATTGATGTCAAAAGAGGCCTTTATCTCATAACATGGAACTTGTAAATTACTTCCTCTATCTAGACTGAATTTATGTTGTCTTCCTCAACTTATGCAGGAATTGGAGAAAGATGGAGTAAGGGTAGCATTACGGTCTCGTCACGATAAGCTCATGCCAGGGACAAACATATATGTGGTTGACACATTAGGTTAACCTATTTGGCCTTATGATAATTCCTCAAGCTAGCTGACTCAGATTTTCAGTTTAGATCTGTTTAAGCTTTACATCCCATCTCCTTTCTAAAAAGTTAGTGGGTTATTATTTTCCTGTAGGTGAAATAGTCGAATGATCTCCATCACACTTTTTTTGTGAATTCTAACAAACTAAGAATAGCTAAAGAGAAAATCAGAAAGAGTTTAGAGTTTGTTGCTAATATGCTTTGTTCTAGTTATGGATCAAATTGCCTAGAATGACTAGGGTGCGGTGCATACCAATTGATGATCTCATCTCTCTCTTCTTGCTTAAACTTTTACATGGCGTAGATCCACATACTTCAACAAGGTACAAATAGAAGTTTCACTTTTGTCTTGCAAAATTTCCCTGTGTTCCACCTATAGAGAAGATCCAGCTTGCACATGAGAGCAGATTGAAAATCTAATCCCAAAAGAAGCTATACCTTCATAAGAACTAAATCTTATTTGTTGAGCCACAATCCACACCATATAACAACTTTCGTATATGTATCAGATATTTGCCTAAAGAAGCTAGAAGATAAAGTACAGTAAATTTTAACGGATGAAATACTTCCCTTTTGCTTGCTGTTGCAGAGCTGTATTAACGAGGTCATTGATATTTCTTATTATTTTGCTCTGTAGGTGAATTACAAAAGTTTTACAGACTAACACCAATTGCTGTGATTGGAGGTTCATTTCTTCCAGGTTCAGCTGGTCATAATATTTCAGAAGCCGCTGCAGCAAGCTGTGCTATTTTAACTGGTCAATTCTGTTTCCATCTTTTAGATAGAACTTGGGTCCAGTCTGCAGCTAGGCTGGGATCAAGGCTTCTTTCCTTTGTTTCTTTGGAGTGCCTGATTAATTTGTAGTAAAATTTCATGTTTGATTCTCATGTGGTGCATAATTATATTTATATCAGTTTTTTTTATTGGTTCAATTATCAGGTCCTTATATCGGTCATTTCTCCCATATGGCAACACAGATGCAACGCTTGAATCCTTTGTCAGTATTACAGGTCTGGATACTTACTTTGATCTATACACACTCGGCTGGTGTGCATTGGACATTCATAATGTGCTATTTATGCTTTTTATTGCAAGGGAAGGATGGCATGAATATTTTAGGAAGGGTTAGTTCAGCATGTGCAAAAAACTCTTTTATTTATGTAGTCAAATTTCAAGGTCAATCATAAGAGGATCCTTGAAATTGGAGAAAGGCAGATAACTAACCTATTTTGGAGAAAAAGGAGACCCAATGTAGTATATAAGTATAACCAAAAAATGAGAAGGTGGAACAGCAACATAACACTTGGCATTTTGAGATTGAAATTATCTTTTTCAATAGCTCTTATTGAATGATTAGAAATGAAGAGATAAAGCTAGTCAAGACAATTATATTAATAACTGTTTAGTCAATAGCCTTTGACTGCAAATTTTGGATGCATTAGCTCCCTGTCTTTCTCCTAGAATGTGCATCTAATGTACTGGAGCTAACTATCTTTTGTACAAATTAGCATTTTCTAGGTGCCTTAAATGAAATTACTTACTTCATAAAGAAACGTTCAATTGCCTTTGACCGACAAAAGTTTCAAGAACCAGGTTGTTATCTTCTGCAGAAATTCTGAATATTTTTGATAGGATAGTACTGTAATAGTGAAGTATCCATATAAAGTATGTCAGATATATAAATTGATACAGTACCTTTTAATTTTCAACAGTACAATCTTTACTAGAAAGATAAACCAACTACAGTATAGAAGCATATGCACTTATGAGTCTGAAGGGCTGAAAGTACTGTTATCACAGAAGCATCAGCATATTTCAGTGTTTACTCTGGTTTACTTTGTATATGATTTTAATCTCCCTTTTTGAGATCCTTGTCGGACTCCTTTGCTCTGGCAGGTTTCTGGACACATTCTTGTCGAAGCTCTCCACAACCTTCTTAGTGATGCAAAACTTTTGGAAGAACGTCAAGAAGCTGCTAAGCAAGCTTATCATGCTCTGTCTTGTGGGATCACTGAAAATGTTTGGAGCTTTCTAGACTTCCACATTTTTCGGATAGCACTGGCAAACGAAGGTTTGATGCTATGAATCTCTATCTTCAGATCATCCCCATCTATGATTGGGACTGTTTCATGTTAAAAAAAGCATTCACGAGTTCCTGCATCAATATCATGAGATCTTGAACAGGGAAGAAAAATGTGAAGAACCTAAATGCTGTTCCCTCCTTCCCCTGTATATCAGGTTCCCGTCTATTAATTTTCATTAATGTGGTGAGAAACGTCCCCAGATCATTGCATGCTAGATTCAGTGTTGCAATACCTCATTAATATCTGGTTGTCCACAGTATAGATCACATTCTCCCCTGTTTATTTTCATTAATGTGGTCTTCATCAAAAACAGAATTCATTAATGTGACGAGAAATGTCCTCGGCTCATTGCATGCTAGATTCTGTCTGGAATTACCTCATTAGATATCTGGTTGCCCTCTGTTAACTCCTCAGCTGTAAGCTTGCTTGCCTGAAATTTCTGCAGGATCTACTGTAATGCATTTCTTTTGAGTCCCACCTACATCCTTACTTGGCTAATACCTTGGGCGATTTGGATTTCCCTTGCTGCTTTTTTATAGTTCGCGGCAGTTAAATATCTACTTTTTTGCTTTCTCAGATTGTCCTTAGTGAGATTTGCCTCCCAAGATGGTTTATGAGTAAAGAGCAGCCTAAGAGGACAAGGATTTTTCAGGGGAGGCCTCGAACAAAAGTGTATCACAAGTATCAGGTATTGCAGATGCATTAATTATATCATTAGCTGTAATTTGGGGTAGTGTTAGGTAACACCTTTCTTACACCGTTTGATTAAGAACTCTTTTGGCATAAACTCAATAGAGAACAATTTTGTTTGGTTTGGAAGTCAAAACTTGTTTCCGACAAGGGACACAAAGATCTTCCAAAGAATGAAGTATTCCTGGTTTAGGGATCATCAGTATTTGCTAATTATGTTCTTTATATCATATTACTACTATTAAATGCCATAATTTAGTGTAGAAGAAGGATCTAACTGACTTCTTTAAATTATCATTGATTCAGTCCAGTGATAACAATGCTTGATTTGCTCGAGGTGATGTTATTGCTGCAATACTAACTGTTAAGGCATGCAAGAGGGGAGCAACTGCAATTCTCCCGAGTGAGATTGCTCAAAGATTGAAATGAAGAACATGATAATCTGAATGGAGTGCATTTGCACTTTTGTGGATTGGACGCGATACTTTGAAATCGCTGGACTAGTTTGCTGATTAAAGTTATTTACACCTTGCATGGCCTCTCCACTACTGTATATTGGCTTATTTCCTAGCTACGTCAAGCAACTTCCTGAGCTTTGCGATGATTTCAGCTTCTATCGGGATCCATCTATACAGCTTTCATCAGAACTCTATTCTGGGAATCAGTGCCTCGAATTGTTGACTGTTGTTGCTGTGGTAACAGGTAAATGCAGTCATAATCTTCATCGTAGAGGCGACCTAGGTGAAAAATGTCCAGAAATTTGTTCAGTTAACAAGTTGTTACAGTTATGGCAAACTATGGCTGGGAAATGAACAATGACAATAGTGAGTAATGCTGAGAAGTAGAATATACTCTGTGTTCGACATACAAAATGCAGATTAAATTAACTAGAACAACTGTGTTTTTTTGTTTGTTTGTTTGTTATAATCACGGTATTCGGGCCAATTGGCGCGCATCACTACTAATTCACAGGTACTTACTATCTTCCACCAGAGCAGTTGTTTCTTTGCATGTCGTTACTTCTTATTTTGCTTGTGGAAATGTTTATCCCCTTGAGAAGTTTCCTTTCTCGTTTTTTAGTTTAACCATTTGGTATTCAATCTACTCGCTCAACTAATTCAAATTTGTACCATGTAGATCATTTAAAGCGTTGTCCATCGGAATTCCTCCATCACCCAAGATCTTGACTTTCATCAAGGATAGAAGAGTCTTATTCGTTCTATCATCTTTCATATTATTTCATCAAGGATAAAAATCACTATTTTCGAAGCAGTTCTTGAAGAAGAAAAAATTCAACTTACCGTCCTTTTTTTCTTTTTCGTACACTATAATGACAAAAATACATTATATTTAATACAATAAACAATTTATATTTACTTAATTCAAGCAAATGTCTAATCTTAAATAATTGTTGTTGAATGCATGCTATGTATAACTAAAGGGCTATTTTTATATAGCTGTCTTTTGTAGCCCCTAATGGCCACCACCTTAAATAAAAGATTATTTAATATGAAATGACCAAAATCCAAAAAGATACGACCTTCCCCACTACAATTATTTTTTTCAAAATAATAATTACGACAAACTTAGGTATGCGTGTATCGCCTAACTATTTTTTATTTGAAATTTGGTGTATTTATCGCGCGGAGTAAATTTAAGATTTGAATTTTTGGGTTCGATTCTTAAAGGTTTTAACATTAAATTTACTTTAAAAGTATGAGTTCCTATTTATTATATCTTGTGATATTAATGATTTTTTGCAAGTTATGTTTCACATTGAAAATACTGAATTCAAATGAATGTGAGTGGTAGAACTCAAATTTGATCGAAGTGGTAAAATCAAAATGATAATGCAAACATAACTCTATTGTCTTATACTCTGAAATTAATTTTTACACTATCATCTTTATTTATTGTAACAAATAACCTGTCTTCTTTTTAAAATTACAATTTTCACATTTTATTTTTATATCCAAAACATCTTTAGAAGGATTTGAACCAAGTTTGAGTATCACGTGAAACTTATAAAAATTCAAAAAAGGTTTAGTACTAATACTTTTCAAACCACTTTGAACTATTTAGAAATATTTTACTATTAAATTGACCTAATAATGTTGGGGATGATGGCAAGATTAGAGCAGCAAAGCTTTGACTCATTGTATTATTGTACCGGACTATATAATATAATACTAATTTTCTCTTGTGTCCTCTTTGAGAATCAAAATTTAGTTTTTAGGCTTGTTACTTTTTAAATTATTGAAAACTCATTATTTATTTATAACTGATTTAGCTGAATAAACATGAAAAATATCATAGTGGAATTTTGTTGAACTTAATTGTTGAAAAAAAACAAACGTGCCTTTATTTTTTGAAGGTTTAGATTGTATCTAAAATGAATTATTGGAATTGACAATAAAATGTAAAATATCTAATTTTAAGTCGCATGAAGTTCATTTATATGAATTTTGAAGCAAGAATGCATTGAAATTACGTAATAAATTAATTTTGTGGCTAAATTATGAGAATTTATAACATGACAATGATTTAGTATAGTCGAATTTTTTCGCAAATTACGGTGAGTTCGTTAGACCAAGCAAAATTGCACTAAAAGATTCTATTTTGTGCAAATGTTCAAAGGACACAAAATTATACCTTTTGGTAGAAGGCAACAAATACTTTATGAAAAGGGCATAAATTGATCGTGACACTATGTTATAAAAAAAATAAAATTATTTGTACGCATCACCCAAAAAGAAAAAGGACAGGCCAACAGGATAGTTCTGCCCATAGATTATGACAACAACACTTTACATGTTTTTTTTAAAAAAAAACTAATAAAAGAACATCTCAATTAATTTGAATTCGTATTATTTAAATTAAACTTATTTAAAAGAAAGTGTTTAAGTTTTTGTATATATAGATTTCAAATGCAACATTTCTTATTAAAAATGAAATTCTTTTGTATATCTTTATCGTATTTTAAATTTCTTAATAAAAATTCTGATTTTGTCACAATAGTATTATTGTTTTGTTGATCTCGAAAATTTCATAAAGAGATCAAAATCTCGAATATTCCACAAATGATGGAATATTCATATAGAGGTCAAATCTAAATTATCCTAGTTCGAAAAATACGCTACTAACTGTCCTCGAATTATGTAGATCAAGTCTAAATCATCCTAATTTGAGAAATACGCCACTAACGGCCCTCAAATTATGTAGATCAAGTCCAAATCATCCTAGTTTGAGAAATATGCCACTAACGGCACTTGAATCATGGATAAATCTTAGGAGAGTAAAATCCAAGGATGAACAAAATTGTACCCGCACTATTTATTTTATCAATAAAGTTATGTTTCTCCATATTTTATTTGTGATTGCAATTTCTTTTCTATCACTTTAAAATTTGTTGCAAACACATTAATAACAATAATTTGTATTTTTTAGGTTTTTTTGTGTGTGTGTTTTTATCTTTCAATAGCCAAATAACTCTGACTTATTGCTCCAAAACATGTGATTTTTTATTTTTTTTGTCTCCCACTCGGTGTTCGATGTCTACATTGGATCTCCAACTAAATACGGATCGTGCACTGCAGGGTCTATTTTGTGGATGACGCTCCTAATAAGATTTTCTCCATACCTAAAACTCGAACAAAAAATCTTTGATTAAGAGTGAAACACTCCTCATCGATGTATCACAATTCATGTTGTTTTATTTTTACTTTTGGGGCCTCTAGATGACCACATGTTTCTTCTAGACACATGTTCTATAGTACGACAGGTCCCCATGCTTTACTGCTTACGCCCTCCTTTTTCCCAATAAGCACCTACTCCAATAAATCGTGTTTTTCGTGATTTTTTCATGTTTATAATTTTCGTACCTTCAGTTGATTCGGCCCCTAGTAAATAAATATATTTTAATAACTAAGATTGTTTTCACTTCATAAATTTTATTTTATTTTTGTATCAGTTTATGTAATATTATTTTATTAAATATAAAATTTAGAAGAAAACAATGATTTTTAAAATTTATAGTTTGAAATAGATTTTAAATATTTTTATGATTAAAAATCACTTTACTGAGACTAAAAAGAAAAAAAAAACCTAAGATTAACTTTAGAAAGATGACATTTTTTAAAATAACAGTATGTTAAATTGGGATGAATGGATTATTAAGATAAAAATTATCTACACTTTTAACTTCGCTTTAAAAAATAAATTCGTCTTTTAATTTTAAACTACGGATATTTTTATAAATAGATGTTTAGCAATCTTAAAGGAAATTTACTTGTTAGTATTTTGGCTATGTGCATTAAATGTGTGTTTAATATAAAAAAAAATTAAATTTATTAGAACGATTAAAATTTTACAAAATATGTATCACTATTGATCTCATGTAATTTAATACTATCTTTTTTGAATCGTTTTAAATCACTTTTACCATATGTCACACATCTTTTGTCTATCTACCCAAAAATATTCAACCCTATACAAATTTATAATTATATAAATACTTAGTTATAAGTAATAGTATCTAATATTTCTTATATATACACTTGTATTTAATTTATCATACATTAATGTTGCTTTACTTCTTTATTTATAGTGATCTTTTGTTCCGATAGTGTAGTTATATTTGTTTAATCAAGCATGACATCATGATTAATGTTATATTATAACAATTTTTATCTATTTCTATGAAAATACTAACATAAAAATTCATATTATATACATTTACAAACTCAAAAAATACTTGAAATAAATTTTTAAAAGGCTATCATCTTAGCTTAATAAACTATACATTATAATTACTATTCTAAAAAAATTACACTATAATTTTCAAACAACCACTTAAAATACACAAGAGATTTTATATATTTATTTATTTATATTTTTATCATAGGGACCAGTCAATGGTTGGAAATAGATCCACAGAATATACCAAGACTAAAAAACATCATTTTCTTTTTTCTTTTTCTAAACTAACAACTAAAAACAAACTATTTGAAAAGAGCATAAAAAATAACTATAAATGTCATAACATATACTCCCTCCATTCACTTTTACTTGTCGTGATTCTATTTATAGAATTAAATTATAAAAACTTTGATTGATATTTTTTGATATATTTTTTGTCATATTGATATGCAAAATATTGCAATTTATAGAACTTTTCTCATAGTTTTTGAATATCTAATTTTGTTATTTAGAATATTAAATTAATGTAATCTAACTTAACATTAAAAATTAATCAAATTATTTTTTGAAAAATGCAACACGTCAAATAAAAATAATAAAAATGGACGGAGGGAGTAGTTTTCAACTTTCAACAAATTTCTTGAGGGAAAAGAAAACAAAAACACTAAACTTTAAACAAAAGGAGTATTCCACAGCAGCCCATTACAAAAAGAATCAAACCCTCAAGCACCAAAAAAGACTCCTTCAAACTCATAGCAAAGCACATTCTCTTCCCTTTTTCCACTTCTCTCTGTGAAGTTCTTCACTTTTCTTCATCTGGGTCTTTGATTAATTCAGCAAACATGCATTCAAATCACTTACTTCTCGAAGAACCCATCAGGATGGCCTCAATTTTAGAGCCATCTAAACCTGTAAGTAACAATAAGATTGAATCTTTTTTATGTATTCTACTGTTAGATCTATGTTTGCATGTGGGTTTGGTATTTATGTTTGATGGGGTTTGTTTGTTTTTGAATCTTGCAGAATTTTTTTCCGGCTATGACTAAGATTGTTGGGACTTTGGGCCCTAAATCTCGATCTGTTGAGGCTATTTCGGCTTGTCTTAAAGCTGGAATGTCTGGTAATCTTGAAATTTTGTTACTTTTTTTGTTTTTTGGTTATTGGGTTTATAGTTGGGTATGTATTGATTGTTAATTTGTTTGTTGGTAGTGGCAAGATTTGATTTTTCATGGGGTGATTCAGAGTATCACCAGGAAACTTTGGAAAACTTGAAGGCATCTATTAAGGCTACTAAGAAGCTCTGTGCTGTATGTATCA